GTTGCAGCACAGCAATTCTTCAGACAAGTACATCAACACCAGCACGTAAACCTGTGTGCAAATTCTGTAGATATTCTCAAAGAGCTTATACCTATTCATCAGTTTAAACCAAGTGCATACCTTCCCTGAATAATAGTCAATACAGGTCTTTATCCCGAGGGCTTTTGTTCCCCTAATGAAAATTTATTATAGTGCCTGCAAACTGGTAGTTTCTAAATTTTCTGCTAGCAGAGGTTTTAACAATATTATTTATTTAAATAAATATCTATCAATAGGCATCTGTTGCCATCTCTGGCTACTTCAATACACCAGGCACGCAGCTTAGAAGCTGGGACTAATTTTGGCCACCATGAAATAATAGAGTATATTTACTAACAGCATATAACAGGATTATCTGACCTCTCCCATTCTGTGGGCCATTTTGGCTTGCACCCAAGGGACCTCATTTTATGAACTAGATCTTGGGAGAACAGCGTAAGGAGGCTGCTTTCTCCAATTTTCTTTTAGATCATAGGGCTGGTGTCTTTGTGAACTGGTGGTGAAAGCTACATGCAAGCCATAACTTTTGGATCACTGAAATTTGGTGAAGCAACGGCCTAGCGGTATTATCACTAGACTATTAATCTGGAGACCCTAGAAATGTTCTGGGAACTTGGATTTCAATCCTGCCAAAGCTGATGGAGGAATCTGAATTCAATAAAAATCTGGAATTAAGGGTCTAAAGATGACCATGTCCATTGTTGGAAAACCCCATCTATTTCACTAATGTCCCTGACCTGGCCTACATGTCTTATGATCTTAAGTCAAGTTCATTATTGAAAGGATACGTGACTCCAGACTCTTAACTGCCTTCTGCATAATTAGTGTGGGGAATAAACGCTGGATTATACAGTAACAGCTACATTGCATGAATTAATTAAAAAAAAGGACACCACCACCAACAATGTACATTGATTAGTGCAGTTAAAATAGTAAATTACTCCAACATGCTTGAAATGTTAATTCCTCCCCAACTCTGTAACCTATTCAAGCCTTACAATCTTCTCCGTATACCTTGAATTCTGCCCATTGTGGTTATTCCCAACATTAACTGCTCAACGTTTCCACTCATACTTTCACCCTTTTAAACCATAAGGCTAAAGGGCTACATTCTTAAACCACTCTGCCTCACTCTCCTCCCTTAAGTTTATCCTTAGTATTCACTACTTTGATCAAGGTTTGTCCTAGTAGTTACAAATGTGGTTTGACATTAAATTCCAACTGATCACATTTCTGTGAAGCACCTTCAGGCTTCTTGCTATGTTTAAGGGGGCTCATAATTGTAAACTGATATTAAGTATATATCACTTAGGAATAGGGAGTTATTTGGCCCTTCAAGCCTGATGCACCATCTAAACGATCATAGTTGATCTGGTTATGACCACATCTCCACTTTTCTGATGGAACTCATAACCCAGGCTCCCTTGTTTACCCAGCAAAAAGGCCATCAAACCACAAGCCCACATTACTCAAACAGAAGGTGTCTGTACATTAGAGAAACGGATGCAAGTGGAAATTAATTTTCCTGGCTTTGAGGATCAGTGTGTCATGACACCCCATGCACTGCCTTCAACATTCACTTCCTCCACAATTATCACATGTGGCAACAATGTATGCTATCTACAAGATGCACTGCAGCAATTTGCCAAGGCTCCTTTGACAGCACTTCCCAGACCTGCAAAGTCTACTACCCCAAAAAACAAGGACAGCGGGTGCATGGGAACATGACCACCTGCAAGATCCCCCTCCCCAAGTCACATGCCAGATCAAAATGCTGGAACTCATCACTAACAGCACTATGTTTGCACCTACATCAGAAAGTAGTTTTTCACACAAAAGGTGGTAGAAATATGGAACCCAAGCCTCAAAAATGCTGTGAATGCTAGAGTTGCATAATTTCAAAATAGGAATCAACAGATTTTTATTGGGTGTGTGATCCTTTTGCGAACTTTGGGTAATGGAGCCAATGTACAGATCAAATGTAATCTAATGGAAAAGCAGAACTGCTTTGAGAGGTTCACTGGTCAATTCCTATTCCAATGTAATGTCATTACATCATGGTTAAAAACTGTTCCTTTGGAATGAACCCAATTATTTATTCTTTAGAAAAAAATGCAAAAACTGAAAATGTTGCAAATCAGGACTAGAAGCCAAACAGCAGGTCAGTCAACACCCGCACAGAGAACAGATAGGTCAACATTTCTGGTTGGGCCCTATATCAGGCATTGACTGCCTGAACTCCTCACAAATGTCAATTTCTTGCTGTGTGTTTCCACCATTTCCTGTGTTTTTTATCTCTTTGCAACAGAGTTAAATAGATCCGCATTCTAGACCTCCGTGCTTTATCCTCTCTGTTTGGGTCAATTCTATGAATAGGATTCACCAGTCGCAGCTTGATTGAAAGGTGCCATTGAAACAATAATCTGTCAATCACTTTATAGATGTCATTCAATCCACTGGGCAGAGATGCCACCTTTCAGATGAGATGATAAATAAGATTCAGCTGCGTTTTCAGGGGGATGTTTAAAAAAACGTCCCATGGCATCAAAGAAAAGTGCATTATTTATATATTAATTATATTTGGTTGTATGCAGGTGTGCACTATCTGGGAAGTCACTTCTGCTCCTATAAACAGGAACATACTAAAATTATGCTGCCTAGGTTTTAACAAAGAGCACGCTTGTAACATGTTTCATTGGAAATAATCTTTATAGAATTCTATATGCGTTATGTCCAATTTCATCTTTCATGACCTGGTGACATTCTGGTGTATAATACAGGGGTTTAGTATCATGGCCAATATTTATTCCTAAACAATCATTACTAAAACAGATTGGGGCTAAAATCCAACTTCAGCCGAGGTAAAAACAGATGGACGCTTATCAAACTGTTACTGTTTTATGTGTTTGTCAAAATTAAATTCACCTTACACTGTTTGGACATTTATTTCACTGCGTTTGGTGGGATTTTCCACTGCACAAATTGACCTTAATTTCCATACAATTTAACACCAACTATTTCAAAGGCATTTCGCTGAATGTGAACCATTAAGATGCCCTCAATTCCTGAAAGGTACTATATTAATACAGGCTCTTTAACCATTTTAAAATTTTCATCCAAGTTTACCTTCCACACCATCAGTTGTGCAGATTCCCAAAGGAGGAGGCAGTGCCTCCAGAGCATGAAAGCATCATTAAGAATAACGGTAGGCATCAGTCAGGCGTCCAGTGAATCCTGGTTAGTCTAGGACAAAATTAAGTTTTGCAACACGTTCCATCCCTCAAAGGCATAGTCACATCTGCTTAACTAGTGTCATTTAGATAAAGAAATCTGCAATCTATATCTGGTCTAGGTCATGAGAGGCATGGATACGATGAATTCACTCAGTCTTTTTTGACGTTGGGGGAATGGAGGACTAGAGGCTATCAGTTTAAGTTAAGAGGGAAAAGAATACATAAGAACCTGAGGGGCAACTTTATTACACAGAGGGTGGTACACATATGGAATGAGCTGCCAACGGAAGTGGTTGAGGCAGGTACATTAACAACATTTAAAAGGCATTTGAACAAATACATGGATAGGAAAGGTTTAGAAGGATATGGGCCAAGTGCAGGGAAATGGGGTTAGCGTGGTGGACATTTTGGTCAGCATGGACCCATTTGGGCCGAAGGGCCCATCTCCGTGCTGTAATACTCTATGATGTGTACACCCACAGCAATGTTAATTCAACTGTTACCTGAAATGGTTTAGCAAGCCACTCAGTTCAAGGGCAATTAATACCGGCCTTGCAAACAACACCCATAATTATGGTATGATAAAGAAGAAACAAGCCATTTGGATCATCAAGTCTGCAAATGCTCATCCCACATATCAATATATTTTTTTCCAACTACTTAATTCTCATTTTAAACATATAACCCTCAGAGTGAACCTAAGGTCACTTTTATTATCCATCTTTTGAAGTCTTCAAAAGATGGGAATAAACTACCTTCTCGAGACCAATTGTTTTTGATTAGTTTTTTAGATCACATTAAAGTCAATCACACAATGGTGGGAAGATCATTCAAGAAGCAACTGCAAACAGTTAGGCCTAGGATACATTGCGCATTTAACGATAGTTTGACAGCTTTTATTGTGATTTTCCCTTGTGTCAGCCCATTCCTAAAACAGCATGTTTATGAATCTGATTTCACAGTTTGCCATTGGAGGTTTTGACAAACTGGGAAGCAATCAATCATTATTTAGCCCATCATGAACTTTCCGAGCCTGAAAGACTGCTATCAGGTCACTAAACTTCTCAAGTTTTTCTTCGTAACAGTAACTTAGCAATCCTGTTTACATCTTTGAGACATTAAATTGCACCGTTTCATTTGTTCTATATCTTATCAATGATGGATTCGTCAAATATACTCAATATTCTAACTGTAGCACAACTTATTTTAATTTAGTTATATTTATTCTGTGTTGCTACACGCAAGACCAAGGATTCCATTTGCCAGTTTTTTATGGCCTTCATTAGCTGCAGCATCAGTTTTCCTGCAAATGAAAGTCTTCTTTATTTGAAAACTTAATGCATTAAGCATACCTTTACCCATCCATGTTTCCAAAATGGGAAAAACGTCATAATTGTCTACCTATAGTTGTAATTGTGACGTAACTGAACATCCTGTTAAACTATGCATGTTCTTCTGCATGTTTTCGCAATTTATGGTATGAATATAAGCTGTTATTCTGTCTTTTCTAACAGTAAATAAGGACAGCCCAACAAAGAACCCAATGTGACAAACCCACTGCTATACTTCAGAGTTTGTTTTGTCATTTCAATAATCCAGGTCAACCCACTCTCCTTAACTTCACGTACCAGCATAAATCTTTTATTTGGTACCTCCGCTTATTCTTTGAAAATAATATAAATTGCATTAATTACATTCCTTTACTCACTTTCATTGTTTTTTTTCCAGATACTCTAGATTCAGAGATTAATGCTAGGAACTCGTACTCACGTACCTGGGGTTTGTTAGTTTGTAGCATGACTTCCAGATCTGAAGCATGTGCTTGCAGGTGAGTAAAGCTTCATCAGGACCCCTACACACTGATTCCAGTTTTACTTTAGTGAACAGCAATCTATGAAGAAAGAAAGTATGATTAACTTTAATAGATCATAGAATTTTTCTGCATAGAAAGAAGTCAATCAGCCCAAATGGGCCTACGCTGAAACTTGTGAACAGCTATTCAATTAAATCTCTTAAAAGTAAGATGTTCGGGATTACTGAAGAGAGCATCTGATATCACTAAATCCAACTGCTCACCCAAATCTGCAATAATGACATGAATAAGAAATTGCAATCGCTCCCTAAAATTCCCCATCTCTTTCATTCTTAAAGATACTTCTTAAAGGCTTCCTCAATGACCATGCTTTAATTCATGTTTATCTGTCTGACCTTTCAGGTGAATGTAAAAGAACTCATGGTGCTACTTTGAAGAGGAGCAGAGGAGTTCATCTTGGTGCTTTGAACATTGCTCATCTTTCAATCAACGGCACTGTGAAACTATCTGGGTATTTATTGCAGTGCTCAACATGAAAATTTGGTTGCTGCACATAACTTTTCTTTCAAAAATAATTAATAAAATTTGATAAAATGAAAATATTTCAGAATGATTGAGATTTGAATCAACAAACGTATTGTTCTTGCAGCTGTGGCTCAGCACTCTCAGCACTGAGTCACAAGGTGGTGGGTTCAATTTCCATTCAGAGACAACTCTAATCCACTTAAAAGTGCTTTTGGACTTTCTGATCTTGTGTCAGCCGCACGATAAATGCTTTTTTTAAAACCTGGTATTTTTCCTTTTAAACATGGTACTGAAAACATAAGCCAAATCATATTGCAACAAAAAGCGAAAGAACTACCAACCTGAGGAAGGTCACCGGACCCGAAACTTTAACTCTGTTTTTCCCTTCACAGATGCTGCCAGACTTGCTGAGCTTTTCCAGCAACTTTGTTTTCATAATGTAACAAAACTGGCCAGAGAATTTTATTTAAAGTCTGATGAGATTGTAGTTCAGAGCACGACTGTAACTGAAAAATCTCCACTGTTCCACATCTGGAACTGCATGACTTAGAAAGTACCTTTCAGGCATGATGTTAAATATTGTAGGAATGGGTCTTCTTGAATAACCCAAAAGTACTCAAATTCTTTACTCATGGGATGCTGGCATCGCTGATAGATCAGTATTTATTGCCCACAAGGCAGTTAAGAGTTTAACACATTGCTGTGGGACCTAGTAAGGATAATTGATTAGTGAACCAAATTCTGTTTTTAAGAACAAACCAGTGGTTTAGTGGTCACCATTATGTTAACTTCTTTTCTATTTCAGTTTCTTATTGAATTTAAATTTCACCGTCAGCCATGGAGAGATTGAAACCTGTGTTCTCAGAAAATTAGCCTTTGTTGTGGATTACTCATCCAGCTACATCATCATGACACCACCACCTCCCCATTTGTATTGGACTGATATTGTAGCAAAACATTTCATTTCACGCAAGAGTATTCAGGCAAAAACTAATACTGGATCAAAGGAGATGTTAGGAGGAGTGATTAAACACTTGGTCAGAGATAAATTTAACTAGATGCTTTGTTTATCTAGTTTGGATTTAATTTCAATCTTGTTTAGGAGAGACAACTTAAGCATAGCAAAGTTTGTAACACATTGTTTTGTGCTACTCTTTAAAATGGAAGGGCAAAGTTATACTCAAGTACATGATGCTGTTTCATCTGTAATCTTTTCACCTTCCTATTTTGATTCAATTTCCAGATACTGAATCAATGCCACACATAACACCTTTATGCACAGAAGCTGACTGATCACAGCTTCCAGTTAACAGTCATCCTTTTACCTCTCATACAGATTCAAATTCCACCACTTCAGTCATGTGCAGGAGTTAATCATCTTCAGCTGTTTTATCACTGACCTTCCCTCCATCATAAGGTCAGTAGTAGAACTATTTGTTGATTGCACTATATTCAGCACCATTCATAACTCCTCAAACACTCAAATGGCCCAGGTGCATATGCAGCAAGATCTGGGCAGCACGCAAGCTTGGGCTGTTAATACATCAGCCATGACTGAAAGGCAGAGCAGACTCAATGGGCCAAATGGGCCAATGTATCTTATGGTCTTAAGTGGCGCATAACATTTACTCCACACAAGTGCCAGACAATGACCACCTACAGCAATAGTGAAGCTAGCCATCTTTCTTTGATGTTCAATGGCAGTACATTTGCTGAATTCCCCACTATCAACATCTTGGGGGCTGCCACTGACCAAAATCTGAACTAGCCATGCAAAATAAAAAATCAGGTTAGAGGCTGGGAACATGCCGTGGACAAATGTCTCCCAGTGCCTGCCTACCATCTAGAACAGTAAAGTCAGGAATGTGATGGAATATTCTCCACTTTCTTGAATAAGTGCAGCTGCAACACTTGAAGCCTGACATCATCCAGGAGAAAAACTCATGGTTTGATTGGTTCTCCATCCACTACCAACGTGCAGTAGTGTGTAACATCTACAAAATGCACCATAGTAACCTACCAAAGGCTCCTTAGACAGCAGCCTGGACCAAACCCCTACCAGCTGGAAGGATGAGGGTAGATGATGTATGGTAAGCTCTATTCAAAGCCCCATACCATCCTGACTTGAAAATATATGACTGTTGCTTTACTGTCACTGGGTCAAAATCCTGATATTCCCTTCTCAACAGCATTGTAGGCATCCAGATATCCCAAAGACTACAGCAGGGCAATATATGCTGGCAGTGCCCACATCCCGTGAGTGAATATCTTGAAACGATATGTCAGCTTCCCTTTAAATGCACATGGCTCAGGCTTCCAACACCATCATCATGGCCATCAAGTTGCGACTCTATGTGCCTTTGTGGCTAGCAAGATATGGAACAGAATAGCAAAGATATCCAACTAAGTGAAACACCTTTTACCAATGTTGCCTAATCAAGATCATGGCATCACACGGAGAGACATCACCAATGAAGAGGTGCTACCAAGGACTGGTCAGATCCTGTCCACTGGGATGGAAACACAACTTGAGGCTTGCAGGACTCAAGTCTCGTCAACCAGATATACCACATCTAGACAGGCAGTAGAATAGATACTACCAGATGGTAAAAACAAAAGCAGGCTGACCAAAGACAACCTGGGCTGGAACAGGAGAGGTTGTGATGCATAGGGAATTAGCAGAGCCTTTCTGACCATTGTCCCACACTTCCAGCCCCTTTGCTCCATTTAGCAATTATGGTTTTTACTCCAAAGTCTAAACTGTTAATATAGTTTATAATGGGGACACAGATGATCCGAGATGGAGCACAGACAGTTGAAGCCACCAGAATGGTAGGAGGCAGTCTTGATGACAGCACAATACCATGTCCTTTACCTACCCTTGACATCACGAGCTGCTTTCAGCGCAGCCAAACCATTTTCATCTACTTATAATCTGGATTGGAACTTTTCTTTCTTGCTGGTTTACCATTATTTATCCTTTTGTCTGCCCAACTATCTTGCTCTCCCTCTGGGTTCTGTCACCACCTATCACTTACTCCTTAACCACTCCCCCACCTTGTCTTCAGCATATATGCCACCTTATTCTAACTTCTACTAGATTTGACAAAGGGTCATTGGACCAAATGTCAACTCTATTTTCTCTTCACTCAGATGCTGCCAGAGTTGCTGAGTTTCTCCAGGAATTTCTGTTTTTGTTATGTTGTTGAAAGCCCAGCTCAGTGTCAAATAGGAAGACCAAGTTGTGAGTACACTTTTTTAACCTCACAATGACACGTGCTGCAGTAAAGGTTATTGATTCCCCATTAACATTTTACTGTACCTAGGTACATGTGACAATAATAAATCAAATCAAAGAACCAAAAAGGTTAGGTACTCACACGAAGTGCTCAGGATATTCACTCAGTGCCATGTCGATAATGTTTACAGCATCATGATAGTGCTTCTGTGCTGAAAGAAGCAATGCCAGTAGGTGCAGGGAGTTCACATCATCTCCCTGCAGTTGCAAAGCTTGTCGAACGTAACCCAGCGCTTCTGGGATCTGAAAACAATACATTGGCGTTACACAGTAAATAAGGCCTAAAGTAGAGTGAAACCCTCTGAAAGTATTGTGCTCAATTTACAGCTGTTTTCAGTCTTATTCCATGATTTACAAACACTGAATCATTTGATTCCTGTGATCAGACAAGCATGGGTTTGTGGACAAGCCAGACGAAAGAAAAAGGCCAAAGATACTTGCTAGGCAAGTCAGAGGTAACCATACATCTCTCCCGACTTTATACTGAAGAAAACTGTTTAAATATTCTCTGGGATAGATGTCCAATTGGTAGCCTATTTTTTCAGATTGATATTATTTTGAGAAAATCAAGAACCAAAGTCATAACTGCTACTGCTTTACTAGAGACCCCCTGAAACTTTCCCTAGTGGAGAAAGCGGAATGTGTTGCTGAGTAGCAGGAAGATCAGGAATAAGAAACTTTGATTGCTACAGACTGCAGTTTTAAACTGCTCTGGAAAGTTGGTCATTAAGAGGCAACCAAATTGGTTATGATAGTATTATGGTTACACTTCTGGACTAGGAATCCAGAGTCTAGTCTGATAATCTGGAAACAGGAAATTAAAAGCTACCATGACAACAATGGAATTTAAAATTAACTGATTAAATAAATCAAGATGAGAATTATTAATGATGACCATCTAATTATCAATCTGTCAGAAAAGCCCAACTAGTTCACCATTTCCATTTGGGAATGAAATCCACCATCTTTATCCATTTGTCTTGTTTGTGACTTTACATCCAGAGAAAAGTGGTTGACTCTTATTTGCCCTAGAATGACTCACCCATGATGACTAAGGTATAATCACGGTGGGCTTCAAAATGTGGCATACTACCATCTTCCCAAGGAAGGATGGGTTATAAAGAATACTGCCCTTAGCAGCAATGCCCACACCAAATGAATGAGGTTTAAAAAATGCTGACACTCAACATTCCTTGTGATTCTTTTTTGTGTATACCAGTAATTTAGGTGGACATCCCATTTAAATTTTTTTTACCTTTTGAGTTACTGTACAGCTTACAGAGAGGAGTGAGCACTTGGATTCGAGTCACAGGAAACACAATTGGAGTAGGCTATTCAACCCATTGAGCCTGTTCTATCATTCATTATGATGGTGGGCTGATCATCCTTTTTGATGCCTTTTTCTTTCACTAACTGCATATCCCTTTCTGTCATTGACAGTCTGTTGTTGCCTAGTGTAAAGCCTATATCTTTTTAGCTTTGCAGTTTTGATTGTGAACTGATATGGGAGTCAGAGGCTTTACAAGTATGAACCAGTTATTTTGCGCCTCTTGCAAACAAGTGAAAGTACTTGGAGAAGGAAGATCAAGGAGCAGCAAGTCCTGACAATCCAGGAAGACAGGGCTCACCAAACTGCACTCCAGTCTTTCCCTCTGCCCACAATTCTTTGTGACTGTCTGTGTGTCTCTG